AAGTGACACTGAGAATGTGATTGAGAGCCGACCAGGAAGAAAGGAGATTAAACTGGAGCCTGAGGTTGCTGGAGTTTGCGGTCAGAGAACCCATGGTCTAGAGCCCATCAGAGAGAGACAGAGGTTCAGGTGATGCCCTAGAATAACTGAGAACCTGGTCTAGAACTCATAGTAAGGCATGGCAACAGTGGGAGCCTGATGGAACTGAGAACATGGTCCAGAACCTTCCCCCCCCGGGGGAGAGAGAGGCTCACATCTAAACCTGAGCCTTGAGAACATGATCTAGACACCAGGACGGAAAGGGTGGCTCAGAGCACAGTTCGGAGCATCCAGAATGTCTAGAATCCATAGATGGGTTTGCAACTTAAAAAAAAGGTTTCTCAGTTTTTCCCAATCATCCTGGCTCACAGGACAGAACTACCTCTCTTGGTCACAGAGTCTTCTCCAGAAGGTGAGTGGGAAGCCAGAGGCAGCTGGCACGCAGGTGCCTGGGGTGGGGGCGGGGGGGCACTTGCCTGGGTGGAGCCGTAACCGCCGCCGTAGTATCTCTGCTCGTTGAGCCAGCGCACCACAGGGGGCACAGTGTCAAAGTCTTTGAGCACAAGCAGAGCCAAGAGGGCATAGGATGTGGCTTCCACGTTGTAGAGCTTCTGGCCAGGCTCCTCCCAGCGGGTCCTTTCTGCAAGGAGAACCCCGCCCCCAAGGCTTACTGCTTTGTCCAGCCTGGAAACAGCTCAGAGAAAGCTCAGAAAAATGACTCATACTAGACCTCTTGATGTTCAGGTGTCCTGGCCCACATTCAAGGCCCTCGGTCTGCTGGCTTCTGCTTCGTTCTCTTCCCTCATCAACTTTCCCTCCTCCATTTGAATTCTGAATTGCAGCCCCACTGATCTGCAGGAAATCCCCTAAGCTCGCCATGCTCATTCTCACCTCTGAGCCTTTGCGTATTGTGTTTCCTCTACTCGGAGCACCTTTTCTCCATCTACTGGTTAATTCTTACCCACCCTGCATAATCCAGCTTCAGTGGCACCCCAGAACTGAATGAGGCCCTTCTTCCTCCTGTCTCTCAAGGCATCCTGGGCTTCTCCCATGCCAGCACTATGATGCCTCACTGTCAAAGCAAGCACTTAACGCACAACGTGCAACGCTGTCAAATGAACTCTGCACCAAACCTTCTTACGCGGCTTACAATGAAGACTTTTCACACGGTAGAGCCGTCCATCCCAGCTCCACTTGGAGCTGCCCAGTGCCGCTGAGGGCCACACATCCCAGCTCTGGAGGGACCCTCGAGCCCCAAACATGCATCGCTGTTTACCCCTTGGGGGTGCCCCTCACCTGTGGCTGTGTTCAGGAATTTGTTGAGGAGGGCACCTTCCAGCTTGCCCACCTGAGCCAGGGCATAGCCAGTGATGGCCACAGTATACGGTCTTCTCACGTCTAGGTAGTGGGCTGCGAGAAAGTCCCCTGCTTTGTTGATGCTGCGCCCCAGGCTCTGTGAGAGAGAGCAATGAGTCCTCGGGTCAGGTGGGCACTGATGCCACAGAGAACCAGTGAGGGTCACAGAAGCCAGGATGGGAACCAGGTTGGTTTCTGTCTCTGTCTCGGGTCAGCCCATTTTTGAGAGTTTCCTATTGTGGCCACCTTGTTGCTGAGCACTGCTGTGGTCACTTTCATATTTGCACTTGATAAATTCTTGGATCTCTAAAATAAATGCCCCATCTATTTTTGCATCATCTAGGTCACATGTGTGACAACTAGGACAACTCAGAGAGTCCTAAAAAATACAACGATTATTATACCCATTTTACAGATGCATACACTGAAGCCAGCAAGGGGAAATGCCTGAGATCGGGATTTAAAGTCAGATCTATCTGACCCCACAGTCCTAGCGCTGTCTCTTTTCTACCATAATTTCTCGTAAACCTTGAAGATTGGAGCCAGGAAGGCCTGGGTACCTCCTGGGCGTAAAGGGTAACAGCCTCCTCCCCTCCATCTCTTTTCTGGGGCCCCGATGAGGGAGGAACAGCTGGCTGAAGGTCAGATCCTGAGGTTCCCCAGCAGGGAAACTAAAAGTCAAAGAACCCACTCTCAACATCCCAGGGCAAAGCAGATGGAGCAATTACAGACTCTCAGGGGCCCATCTTTCTAAGCTTCTCTGCGTCAGAACCAAAACCAGAAGAAAGGGGACAGTGATGAGCCAAGATTTTTAATCCTTTCCCTTTTGGGGTCATGGACCCCTTTTAAAACCTCCCGAAAGATTCGCCAGACTAAGAAAATAGTCCTGAGGGATTTTTATCTCTGTGCCTTGAGTTGTCTTCAGTATATTTAGGATATAAACGTGTCAGTCGTGTGGGAGCGCCGTGGCAAGCAAGCTGGAGGGGCTTCTGCTGAAATGGGCTACAACGCTCTGAAAACGGTAAAGCAGGCAGCAAGGGTCCGATCTTTGATCTCTTTGTGTCTCAGTTTTCTCTTCTGTAAACTAGGAATAATAAGAGTAGGCTATCTCTTGGGCTGTTACAAGGGTTACAGGCCGTAAACATGGGATGTTCTTAGATGAGTATCTTAGTTAATGGCTCGATGAATGTTAAGTATTTTTATGGCTGCTGTGGTGGTTGTATCGCACTGGGAAGACTGGAAATGACCCAAAAGCAGCACCTCACCTTCCAAAGTGGCTGTGTCCTGGAGAGGGGAGGGGAGAGGAGGGAGGGAGAGGGCAGGGGACACTTACATTGACCTGTCCCTCGCAAATGTCTTTAGCCTCCTGCAGCGCGATGACAACAAAAGCTGTGAGGGACATATCTTTCTCCTCTGGATTCTTGAAGCCTCCCTGGGGGAGAAGGAAGCAGGAAGCAAGAATAGGGTCACCAGTGTGTCCCCACATGCCAATCAACCCACTTGTACGATCAGTGGGTCAAGACAGGGCTGGGTCTCTCCCCAGTGTCTCCCCAGCAGGGCCATGCTCTTTAGTATTCATTCATTCATTTATTCATTTATTCATTCATTCATTCTGCAACTATTGCTGGGGTGAATGAAAACCAGACATGGGCCTCAGCCCTCATGGAGCTCCTTGTCTAGTTGGGGAGACAGACATGAACCAACCAACTCATCCATAGACACATAATTACAAACTGATGAGTGCTGTGCAGGAGAAGTGTATGTGGCAGTGAGGCAGTGGGAGTGTGACTCAGTCGAGGAAGTCAGGAAAAGTGTCCCTGAGGGATAAGATGGAACCACAATATGAACAGTGAGTAGGAGTCAATGCTCACAGGAACAGTATGTGCAAAGGCCCTGTGGCTGGTTAGAACAAGGCTCCTAGCAGTACAGATGGAGCTTGGAGAGAAGGGGTTAGTCTGTGAGGCTGGGAAGCCTGAAAGGTTCCAATTCCTAAGGCAGCAATTCTCCAACTTAAGCACATCTGGTGGTGGTGGTGGGGCTGGGAGGTTGTTAAAACTCCGATTCTTAGGTGTTACCCCTAAAGTTTCTGATTTAGTGCACCTGGAGTCCAGCCTGAGAACGTGCATTGCTAACAAGTGTGCAGATGGTGCTGATGCTGCTGGCCTGGGACCACACTTTGAGGACCACAGCTCCAGGGAGTTCTGTGTTTATTTTTAGAGACAGGAGGGAGTCAGGGGACTTTCATTTTGCACCAGATCCTGCGGGTCTAGTGTTTTTGCAGTGGAAGGGCGACACTCTGAGCTCCCTTATATCTCTTTCCCAGCGTGCAGTGAGTTGGGCGGTGGGTGGATGATGGAGTCTTTTTCCAGTCCAGGTGCCCCTCTCCCCTAGCCTGCCCTGAATCCCTGCCTCTTACAATCATTTCTTGGTGTATCACAGGCCCATCCTCCTGGAAGACTCCATCAGGCTTCTGCTTCTCCAAGATCAGCCATTTGACAGCCCCGCAGAGGACCTGAGAGTCGATGGCGATGAGGTTGGCTGCCAGCGCAAAGACCTTGACCACAAAGGCTGTCAGCCTGGGGGTGGACACAGAGCATGAGCCAATTGGCTCTGGGATCCAGAGCCTACCATCCCAGATAACCAATGAGCAGAGAGGGGCGGGCCTGTCCTCGTCAGCCTAGCTTCCCTTCCCAAAGCTCAGGACCCAGCGCTGCATAAGGGTCACTCAGCTGGCTGGTGTCTTGAATGCGAGTGAAGGGTTCCAGTCTCACAGGGCTGTGAGGGTGAAGCCCGCCTAGGGCTCTCCAGGCTAGGATCCAGGGAGGTGTAAGGCTGAGGTTGGGCAAGACTCACCAGGTGCTGGCTGGCCGGTTTATGAAGGCCGCATATGCCATGCTGGGTTTTTTGAAGGCCAGCTGCTGGGTGTACCCTGCAGGGAAGGGAGAAATGTCACCAGAGGCTGAGTGGACGGGGTGGCTGGTGTGGGTATGTGAGGGAGGGACTTAGAAAGGGGATAAGGATGCTGTGAGGGGTGGGACAGGGGTCCACAGAGGCAAGGGGGGCTCTGGGCAGGATGGGGTGTCTGTAGGGGAGAGGAGCTTAAAGGCAGAAGGGACTCAGAGAAAGTGGGAGGAGCAGAGAGAGGAAGGGTAAGGAGTTCTCAGAGAAGAGGGGATTCAGAGACAGGAGGGTGCTCAAAGGGGGTCTCAGGGGCAAGCAGCCCCCAGTGGGGGAGGGAGCTCAGAGAAGGGGCTGAGAGAGGAGAGAGGGGGCAGTCTCAGAAGGGGCGGGGCCTCCAGAGGGGCGGGGCCTCAGAGGGGCGGGGATGGGGGCCTGGGGCACACACCCTTCTTGATGAGCTCTAAGGCCTCCTGCCGTTTCTCCAGGCCGAACTTCTCCCACTGCTCCGTGTGGTCCAGGTAGTGCACAGCGATGACCGTGGGCGTCATGCCGATCATGTTCTGCTCCCCACAGCCCGACGGGGTCATGATGAGGTGCTTCAGCCGCTCCCCGTCAATGGCGTCTTCTGCCATCTGGGCCACTGGGGTCCCTGCAGCCGGGCAGGAGGATGACACTCAAGTCCGGGGCCAGCCAGGGCCAAAGGGGTCAGGGACAGCTGGGGGCACGTGAATGACGGAGGAGCTGCACGCCTGGGTGGCTGGAGGGGGCTCTGCGTTTTTAAGGGGGTGAAGGTGGCCTTGCGCTTCATGGGGAAACACAGGACCCTGGGTCTTCTTGTTACAACAGTAGTAAAATAATTCCAGTAGCAACAGCCATGAATACTGATGTCGGTGCTTAATGCTATTTGCCAGGCTTTGTTCTAAGAGAACACCACACAGTACCTCATTTAACCCTCCAGCAACCCTCAGACATTGGCACTATTACTCACCCCCATCACAGATGAGGAAACCAAGGGTCTCCTCCCCAAACCTTACACCTCTCAAGTTGTGAACTGCCTTTTCAGCTCCTTCTTGCGTCCTTTCTTGCCCCAGTCATTCTCCTTCTGGGGCAATTAGTTCCAGAATTTCTGCTCTTAAACTATATTGTTTCTCATTTAAACACCTTTATCAGCGAAAGCTATTTGCTGTACTAAATACTGCCTGGAACCTTCTATAAGTCAGATCAAGGTGAGGGTTGTTTTGGCTGAAGAGGACGAGGGGGGCACAGTGGTTGTATTTCCCCCAGAGTTAGAAGGAACTGGGCTCCCTTCTCACAGGTCATGCCCCTCCTGCCCCGTTCTGGGTCCCATGGGGCTGGGGCCAAGGGCATCTCACCTTGCAGGAGGATCCTGGTCTCCGATTCTGTGTCTGGGACTTGGTCACTGAGGTCTGCAGCTTTGATCTCCTCTCGCTGGATTCCATCTGCCAGGCAAATAGGAGACACCGATGACACCAGCCCCCTCCCACCCACCCTGCGCCACCACCCAGGCCTCGCCCCCTCTCCTGCAGCTGACTCACTTTGGCCCTTTTCTTCTGGATTCAGTGTGCGGACAGCCACAGTTTTGTTCACTCTCATTCCTTCTGGCTGGACAGCGTTGAGGGGCAGGGGGAGTCGTGTGAATAAAAGGACAGAGAGCCGGTCAGCAGGGCACTGTTCTGGGAATTACTGTAGCATATGTGCGATGCCATCCACCTGGTCTTAGCTGTGTGACTGGAAGTCAGTTACTCACCCTGTCTGTGCCTCAGCATCCTTCCTGATAGGGAGGTAATATAAACATCTACCTTATAACCATTGTTGTGCAAATGAATAATAAAATTATAAGTTAATAATGAAACAACAAGACCTTCAGAAATCTTCTTATGTGCCTAGGACCTTTCTTTACTGGGGTTAATTCATTTAATCTTCACAACATCCCAATGGGGTGGGTACTGAGATTAACACTCCCATTTTAAAGATGGAGGAACTGGGGAACAGAGAAGTGAAGCAACTTGCCCGAGGTCACACAGCTAGTAGGACAGAACTAGGGTTTGAATCTGGTAGTCTGGCTCCAGAGTCTGTTTTTAACCCAGTGACCTTCAATGGGCTAAATAAGAGAAAAATAAAAATTTTAAAATAAAACAAATGATTTAACTTAAAGGTAAAACAAAAGTATAAAATAAGTAAATAAGAATAGGTAATAAAGAAAAACTAAATGAAAGAATGTGCGTAAGTACTCAACACAGTGCCTGGCACACAGTAAATGCTCAATTAAAATGGGGTTATTTTAATTAGGATCAAAGCTCAACTCAAATGGGGAGGGGATAGCTCAGTCGTAGAGTATGTGCTTAGTGTTCGCAAGATTCTGGGTTCCATCCCCAGTACCTCCATTAAAAATTAAATAAAATAAATAAATAAACCTAATTACTACCCCCAACCAAAACAAACAATCAAACAAAACCAAAAAAAAAAAAAAAACCAAAAAACCCAAAAACACAAAAAACCCAACTCGAGCTCTCATGTGTTTACAAATAAACCTCCGTAGTGGACAGTGTCTGTGTTTGCCTTCTTAAAATCCAGTCGCCTTTCACCTGGTAGTAATTCCCAGATTTTCCTTCGCAGACTGAGTTTCCCCCAATGATGTGCTGGCAAATGTGTAACATCCAGCTTTCCAGGAAGATAAGCTCCTGAGCTGCAGGGCTGTCAGTTCCCTTGGTGTAAACATCCCTGCCATGCTGGATTTCAAGCCAACAGCGGCGGCGAGGACGGAATTTGGAGGTGGCGGGCACGCGGGTTCCTGGGAGCTGGGCGATGCAGCCTCCAGCACACTGCAGGTTTTCTTCCCGCCAGTGCCCAAGCTCAGCCATACTGAAACCCAATGCAGGAGAAAAATGTGTGCCCCTAAATATATACTTTTTTGTATTTCTTTAATGGTTAATTTTTGTTCCAGAACATTAAGGTAGTTGAAAAAAATATGAGTTTGCTTCCATTAAAGCCAGAAAAGAAAAATTATAATAAATTCCGGTTTGGGTATAAATGAAAGATTTCAATGTAAAATCACTGTCAGTTCTAATACACTTGGTTTTCAATATTTCCATGGTTTTTCAACTACTGTAACATTTTGGGAGAAAACTGACCATTAAAAAATGCACACAGACCCATCTACAGGGCAACTCATTTTTCTTTTGCTTCAGGCTCCAGTGTGGCTTGGACTGACACTGGCAGGTCCTGTCTCTAAAATTTTGATATTTTGTTCATTGTGGTGGCTTTGGCATTAACTTTGATTTCTTAAAATACTGCCTCAAAATATTTTATCTTGTTTGCGATCTCACATTTTGCTTGAAAATATTAATCAAAGATGATGAAATAGTCTTGTTTTTTATGGATGATTTTATCTCTGATTATATTGGAAAATGTTCAATAGAAGTAGAACTGTTAATGTATATTTCGAGGGTAAGACTCGTAGGTAAAAACAGAAAAGTTTCCCATGTTCCTGCATTGTATATTATTGCTTTATAACATTTGTTCTGTGAAATGTTTTCCCAAGATCTTTAAAGTCAAAAGAAAACTCCTACTGAAATGTATTACAAAATGTCATGTTTGAGATAAAAAACAAGGTCCTACTATATAGCACAGGGAACTAAAAAAAGTCATACTTGACATTAAAATAAATTTTAATGAAAAAGTATTATTGATCTTTTTACTGAGCTTTTGGGTGCCTCCTAAAATTCCATGCCCAAGGAGAAAGCTTCTCTTGCCTCACCCGAATCCCAGACCTGCTTCCAAATTTCTAGGACTCTCAAATTTCCTAAGGTGCGCGCTGTGTTCTCAGCCTGGGTCTCCAACCTGGGTTGATAACACAGGGAGAACAGGGACCTTCCCCGAAGGACAAGGGGCAGCAAGGTACCCTGAGGACTCACCACGACCTTCAGAGTCTTCTTGACACCATCACTGATGAAGCGATTGTACACGGCGGCCTTGACCTCCACCTCCTGGAGGCCGATCTTCAGGGGCACAATGACATAAGGCACGGCCACCGAGGACTTGGCTGGGATGACTAGAGTCTGCTGGTGGCGCTTCTTGGCGGTGGCCAGGCTGCAGAAGGCTGGATTGTAGAGCAATTCCACCCTCACCTGCCGGGCAGAGAGAATATCAAGTGAGGGGAATGTGCCACGGCCCCTCCCCTGCAAGCCCCTCTTCATGCCTCTGTTGCACCAGGGACTCACCTTGAGATCTTCGGCCTCCCGGTAGTTGTAGAGGACTGCCCGGATCTCTACCTGCTCGTTGCGCACGACAGAGTAGGGCAGGCGCAGGTCGATGAAGAAATCCTGCATCACTGTAACCTCATAGGGGTCAGCCACGCAGATCCCTGCCCGGGTGGAAACAGAACATGGAGTATGAGGGGTAGAGCGTGGGCAGAGAGGACTGGATCCAAGTTCAGGTCCAGGTTCCTGTCCCTGCCAATGTCTCGGTGCTTACCCCTGACCACGGGAGGCGTCCCAAGCCCAGCCTGTCTTCGCAGAAGCCCATAGACGAAACATCATTAATGGTGATAACTTACAGATGGTGGTGGTGGCAGGACGCTGCCACGATTTAGTGATTCCTATTTTCTTTGTAATTTTACTCATAGATAGATGCACAGGAGGAAAGAAGGCGAGCATGACTGAAGGGTCTGTATCTGCGCCCTCCAAAATGGTAGGCCCAAGTGGTCACTGGGCACTTGAAATGTGGCTAGCTCGAGTGAGAACTGGATTCCTGCCTTTAGTTCATTTTATTAACTCAGATTGAAACTTTAAAAATTGTGAATATACTAAAAACCACTGAATTGTACACCTCAAAGGGTGACTTTCATGATATGTGAATTATATCTCAATTTAAAAAAGGATGCTTGATTCAGTGATTAGGAAACTTCTTAAAGTATGTTTAGAACAACTTGGTGGGCCAGTCTACCTTTTCAACTGTAAATTTTATGAGTCCTAAAATACAGATCAAAAGTGAAAATCTAGCATCCTAGATGAACAACAGTGTCCTAGTATAGCACAGAGAGCTATACTTAATTGAAGAAAAAAAAGCTAGCATCCTAATTGAGAGGTGCTGTAAGTATAAAATATGTGGCAGATTTCGAAGGCTTAGTACAAATAAAAACAAAATACGTCATTCAAAATTTTGAGACACTAATAGGTTATTCTTAAATACGAATAGATTTATTATTGTAACATTGTTATGTGGTAGTGGTTTTGCAAAATTTTATAAAATTGAAATAATAATATTTTGGATATATTTGGATTAAATGAAATGGGTTATTAAAATCGACATCACCTACTCCTTTGTTATGGGGCTACCAGAAAACTTTAAATAACATACACAGGTGGCATTATATTTCCAATCAACAGCACTGATCTACTTGTAAAACTTAATAAAAGAAAATCTCAAATAAAACTGGCTTAGGGAAGGCCTGTAGAGGGAGCGCTGATGCCCTACCACCTGTCAATTACCCGCGAACAGGAAGCTGTCAATTACAGATCTGAACAGGAAGCGGCATCAGTTACAGACCCCAACCAGAGGAGCTGCGCCTTGCACTCCCCATCAGGAAATGCAACTGATTTAGGAGGAAGGAAATTTTTCTTTCTGCCCAGCAACAAACCCAGCCAATGGAAACACTGCAGCTCAACCAATGAGAAACTGTCTCACCCGAACCGCGGCTTTCCTCCAATGAGATTTTTCTCTTGCTGTTGACTTGTTTGTCCCACCTTTCTTTCTATAAAAACCTTCCATTTTTTACAGCTTCTCTGAGTTCTGTTTTTTTTTAGCAGCATTACACATTTATCACATTCCTAATAATGTTGCACTAAGAAATCTATTAAGATTTGATCATTTTTCTTTCTTATTCTTCGATGGCAAAAAAATACTCAGAGACTTGAACAAAACCCTTATTTCTCATCACCCTCGGGGTGTCTGCTGTGGTCACTGGTACTGTCAAAAACAAGACAAGCAAAGAAGCAGATTTTGAGAATCTTGAAGCCAGGAAAGTAAAATTATAATAAAGTATAATTTATGATAAATTATAACTAAACAAACTTATATTATATTAAATTCTGGGCTTGGGGTAAATAAAATACACTTAATGTGAGTTTTAATACACCTACCTTTTAATGTTTCAGTATTTTTTCAACTACCTTAATGCTCTGGGAAAAAAAATTAACCTTTGAAAACATGCATGTGGGACACACATTTTTCCTCTTGCCTCAAACTCCAGTATGGCTTGGCACGGCGCTGGTGTCTATTTAAAATTTGGTTATTTTAGCAGATACAAGCTATTATATACAGAAGAGATAAACAACAAAGTCCTACTATATAGTACAGGGAACTATATTCAATACCTTGTAAAAACCTGTAATGAAAAACAATAAATATATGTATAACTGAATCACTGTGCTGTACACCCGAAATGAACACATTGTAAATCGACTATACCTCAATAAAAAATAAATAAAATAAAACAAAATTTGGATATTTTGTACATCACAAATTTCTTTTGCATTCATTTTAATTTAAAAAACTAATGCATGAAAATATGATTTATCTTGATGACTGAGTCTTTTGGCACCTACTTAATTTTGCACTCAAAGTCAGTGCCTGGTTCTCTTCACTTACCCCCAGCCCGGCTGCAAACCATCCGTCTTTGGCTACGGCTCCTCCTCAGGGTTTCACACCCAGCCCTTGGTGGGGGCAGTGGTGGCGGAGGGAGATGGGGGGCAATGTGGGTAGGGACATATACACCTTTTTTGTCATGTTTCACAATCTAACCACCTATGTTTCAATCACTCCTTTCATCCCGCTTCCTCTTCTTTTTTCTTCATTGCTTTCCCCACTATCATGGCGACATCACCCCCTGAAAAGTTTTTGTTGTTGCCAATTTGTCTGTATGATACTTCGACGACGGGTATATGTCATAATACATTTGTTCAGACCCACAACATGTACAACACCCAGGAGTGAAGCCTAAGGTCAGTTATGAACTTGCAGTGATAACAAAGTATCCATGTAGGTTCATCGATTGTAACAAATGCACTGTGTGGGTGCAGGATGTTGATAGCGAGGGAGGCTGCATGTGCGGTGGGGAAAGGCGTATATGGCAAATCTCTGCACCTTCCTCTCAATTCTGCTCTGAAATGAAAACTGCACTAAAAATAAAATCTGTTTACAAAGAGCACCGTGTTAATCACATTCTAGACTCTAATGCCTCTCCAGGGGGAAGAGTGGGAGCCACCAAGAAATAGAGGGTCTGTTGGGATGGAATGAGTAAATGCCCAAGGGGTCTGGGGTCCCGGCCTCCTGAGGATGGGGTTGCCATCTTCTCTTACCTTTCTTGTCTGATAGGCTCACAGCCAGAATCTCCCAAGTGGTGATGGAGTCTTTTAAAAACACGTACTTGAGCTTCGTGGAGATTCTGGATGGGGGAGAAGGGGGGCGGGGCATTAGGAGAAGACATCTAGCAGGGTGGAGGGGGAGAGCTGTCATGGAGGGGTCCTAAAAGAAGGGTTGGAAGGGGTGGGATGGGCACGTGTAGGTAGCCCAACTCTCGATTTACTAGGCTGGGTTGCAGGGTTCCACAGTGATTCCAGAAAAGAGGAGGGATGGAAGTGCATGCAAATTAAAGGTCCACCCTGGGGTGATGACAGGAGCTGAGGGTGGGGTGCAGCAGGGGCATCCCAGCCTTACCCATTTTTCTCCTGTTCTTTAAGCTCATCAATGGTCCACAGCCAGCTCTCGGGGAACTGGCTTCGGGAAATGATGTCCTCCTCTGGGATTATTTCATCTTCCAGGTCACCTGCAAGGGGGCGGGGGGGACAGTCTGGGTTTAGAACAGACCCACGTTCCCTGCTGTTCCCTTTTAGAGGTTTATCTCTGCAATCCCCTGGAAGGATTCCTAACAGCAGCAGCATGCCCGTGGCCACAGCAGCACTTTGGGGGATCCCAGGTCTGTTTGCCCCTGAGGTGTGGTGGGGGGGGGTCTTTCCTCCATAAACAATATTAACAATCCTATTTTACAGCTGTGCTGGTGTAAAGGTGAAAATAATCCAGGCTGGATTATATTCATGTTTCCCTTCTCTGATTTTTCAAGGGAGTGAAAGCAATTTGCATGAGCCTCTAAAACATCGTGGTCTCCAAGCACTGCGCCCACTGCGCCTGATGGTTGAGTACACCCTGAAAGCAATGGGGTGAGTTCAGAGATGCCACAGACTTGATGGAAATTGCGAAGAGGTGGTGGCCTTTATAAGCCACCTTGACACTGTCAGCAAGTATGTGAAGCTGGGTTGGAGTAGGGTCCAACCCTGGCTGGACTTCCCTGAAAAAATGATGAACAGATTGTAATTTGACTCTGGGTCTGCCTAACAACAAAGCAGATGGAATTCCACAGTTGCCCAAATCCACCCATATTCTGGAATAATCCATCAAAGTGCCTTTGGGGTACTAACTTTTAATCAGCTCTCTGTCTCACTTCCTGTTGGCTAAAGAAATGACACAATGCTGAAAAAAAAAAAACAACTATGTGTCAACCATTTCCCCAGTAAATCAGAAGTTTTGTCTAAATTTCCTCTTTGCAAAATTAAGTCTTGGGCACCTGGAGCAGAGAGCAGCACGTGTAGTTATAACTCGCCAAAAGACTGAGGGTAGACTGTTTTGCTCACACGTGTTGGGAATCTTGTGTCTTTGGAGGGCTGGAGGGATTGCTAGCTTTCTAGCTAAAGGAATTTAGAAAGATTTGACCACACTGGCAATGGCTGCCTTGGAGATGTGGTTGTAAGCAAAGAAAAAAAAAAAAAAGAAAGAAAAGAAAAGAAAAAAAAATACAATTGTGTACAAAAATCATGTGTTACCAATAAAGAGTCCAAACCTGTTTTCTTAAAGGTTAAGTGAACGTTGATTTTTGGGAAAATCTCTCTTGACTTAAATTTTGCTGTGATTGGATAGTTACAAAGTTAAAGAAAAACAAAACTAGAAAGCAATAAAGAGGAAATTTACAATGGAGAAATCTGGCAGACACTGCCTTAATCAAGTGATCAGGGTCTTCACAACACCACTATTGGATCAAATCAGTACCACGTGGCTCCTGATACAAAGGACAGAGAAGGACATGGTATCTCTTCAGTGATGGTCCTGCCAAAAGCGCAAAACTTGAGTAGGATCATGAAGACGCATCAGGCAGACCCAGATAGTGGGACAATCTACAAAATATCTGGCCTGTGTACTTCAAAGACGCCGAGGATATGAAAGTCACAGAAAGAGCAGCTGATAGGGGCCGGAAAGATCCAAAGGATGCTGAAGGGACCCAACCAGAAATGCAGCATGAGAGTCCGGACAGGGTCCCTTTTCCTATAAAGCTCCAGGAACAAAAAGAAAACCCGGCAAAAACAAGAAAAAACAAACAAACAAAAACCTGGTGAAGTCTGAATGGTGTTGGAGGACGTGGTGGTGATGAATCAGTGTTAGCATCCTAATTCTGATGGCTGCACTGTGGTTTTGTGGGAGAATACAGGCGTGCTTCAATAGATTGAGCTTCGCAGATACTGCGATTTTTTTTTTCAAAGTTTTGTGTCAACTCTGCATTGTAAGATGATGGTTAACACTTTTTTTTTTAGCAATAAAGTATTTTAAAATTGAGGTATGTACATTTTCAAGACATCACACAATTGTACACTTAATAGACTATAGCATAGTGTAAATATGACTTTTCTATGCAGTGGGAAACCAAAAAGTTCATGTGACTCACAGTGTTGCCATGGTCTGAACAGAACCCACAATTATCTCTGAGGTCTCCCTGTATCTTTGTTTCTAGAAAATCCCCACCAAACTATTTAGGGGTGTTGGGGCAAATGGTTCAGGAGGAAAAAAGTTTTTTAGATTTCATTTCCAGTTTTTCTGTAAAGTTTAAGACTGTTTAAAAGAAAAAAAAAAGAGGATTTTTTTTGCTTTGGTCTGCCAGCCTGCCACTGAGGAAGTGTCCCCGTCTTCTGTGGCTTTTAAGCAAGAGTATTTTCATCACTTTTTATCTTGTAATTGATAATGTAATTTCCATCAGTTTCAAGTGTCAAGTCACTGACACCTGACTCTGCCCTTGGAACTCAATTTGATCCATGCAAGTTCCAATCCCCTGTGAAAATGACAGGACATACGAAAGAAACGTTCCAATGGCTTATAGAACCATCCCCAGAGACATGACAGCTCACCATAAAAATCATTAAAAAGAGAAATTTGGACGGGTTAAAATGGGCTGGGGTTTTGCCAAGATGATCCTCGCAAAAGATACCGAGCTGCCTGAGGTGCAACATCCAAATGTTGTTTCAACAAAGCCCCTCCTGCGAGTCTTTCCCTAATTAGGATGGATTAAAAGATTAAAAGATGCTGCAGAAAAGGAGGGATCAGGCCACCCGGGGCTTCTCCGCCTTTCAGAAGATGTGACAAGTGAGGGCCCTTGTCAGTTTTGTAAGTGGAGGCGTAGTTGTAAGTTGCAATCATATGGAGACAATTTTGGTTTTGCTTTAGTTGGGCTTCTGATAAGAGAAATTTCTCTTGGCTTTGCTTCAAACTTACTTGGTCTGAGGTGGAAAGTTTCAAGTGTGTGAATGTTTCCGGAACAGAATGAATGAATGAGTGAGTGAATCTTGTTGGTAGGCAGAAGTTGGACACCTCTCTTTGGAAGGCAACATGAATTTGTTTCTTTGGTAAAGGCAAGCTTAGGAACACATGCCAGTCTTGCCACTGGCAACTTGTGCGGCCTGCCCCGTCATCTACAATGTCACCCCCCTCAGACCGCAGATGTCCTGGGCACTGGCGTTGTCAAACTTCAGAGTGATGGGAACGGGCCAGGGTGATCCTCCCAGGCAGGCAAGGAATCTTCTTCCCCATTAGACTAGTTCCTTCTTCCCTCAGACCTGAACCACCTCGCTCTCCATCTGAGGGCTTTCTTACCCCTCCGACAGGGGCTTCCTCCTCCCTGCTTCCCCCTCGGACAGGCCCTCCTTCCCCCTTGGGCAGGCACCTCGGCCGGGGGCCGCCTCCTCCCGGGTGAGACTTACTCCGGGCCAGCCCCAGGGGCTGGTCGCGGCTGAGCTTCTGCCGCAGCTGGGTGATGTACTCGCAGCAGTCCAGGAAGGCCTTCACGCAGGCGGCGCCTTGCAGGATGAACTGGGCCCGGCGCCGGCACGGGAACCTCATGGGGTTGTCCCGCATGCCGTCTACACAGCACTTGCGCAGCTCCCTGGGGTACTGACCCGCTGTGGGAGGACAGAGCCCCCCCCATCCCCCGCATGCCCTCAGTCCTGGCCTCGAAGCAGGAGGAACTCAGGACAGACCCCAGGGAGAGCTTCCCCACCGCCAGGATCTCCCCCCACTCTGTGGCTGGGGTCCCATCTGGGCAGGTTCCGGGGTGCGGGGAGGTGGGCAAAGGCCCGCGGAGGGTGCCCACCTTTGTCCGCCCTCTTCTCCATGAGCTGCACGGAGCGGCGGCGGCGGGTGGCCGGTTTCGGGCACTCAAGATCTGAGAAGGGGGACCAGGAACAAGATGGGTTAGGCACCTCCTCTGTGTCCTTGGTTTCCTCACTGCAGCCCGTGAAGTTGGAGTGTTATTGCTCCCACTTGACGGATGGAGAAACTGAGGCTCAGAAAGACGTGATTTGCTAGACGGTGGTGGAGGCGGGACTTGAATGTCCCCGACCCCAGACCCCTGCTGTTAAGGTGCTATCAGCATCCAGGAGGTGGGGCCCACCCCGCTCCCCGAACCTACCACTGGCTGCATCCTCACCTGCCCTTTCAGGGGTCTGGAAGCCTTTGTCGGTTTTGAGGGCCAGCCCTGCATCCGTGAAGACGCCAGCATAGTCCTTTCCACTGCCTGGCGTGCAGCCAATGTCTGCCTTCTCCACTGTGTCCCAGATCTGTGGGGTGGAATGGGGAGTCCGGTCTCAGGGTGGGGCGAGGCCAGGCCAGCAGTGCCTCCACCAACGTGCCAACACATCCATCCAACCCCACCTCCGTCGTCATCCTGGTCCCCAGGGCGTCCACGGTGGACCATCCGGAGGTGGACCCAGAGCTATGTCCATTCGCATCACCATCCCCAACTTGGACCCTTGTCCACATTCTCATCGTCAACTCAACTTCACCCCATCCCAGTGTCTACATGCACTCCGACCTCTGCGTTCAACTCTTGCTTAAACCCATTTGCTCTCCCCAGCCCCATTCCCACCTCAACCCAATGCCATCTCCGTACCTTCTTCTGGGTCAGTTTGTTCTTCTTATTCAGCACAACACACCCTTGTCCACGGCCACCAGCCCCACTCGGGCCCCCCGGTTGCCCTCTATCTTGAGGGTTATCTGTTGTCCAGGTCGATGCTGCTTCTCCTCTTTATCGCCACCTTTCACCACCAGCTGCGAGGAGGTCGGAAGGGTGGGAGGGAGGAGTCAGCCCCGCGAGGAGGCCCCGCCCTCGGGCAGCAGAGGACAGAGGAGGCCCCGGACTGGACAGGGAGGGGAGACACAGGCAGAACCCGCATCAGGCAGAGAGTCAAGAAAAGAGAGAAAACCAGGCGCAAAAAAGATACTGCGTGTAAAGCTTCCAGTTACACAATAAATGAGTCGCGGGGATGCAGTGCACAACGTGGGGAACACAGTCAACAGCTGCCCAGTGCCTGCATGCGCGGTGACACGTGGTGACACGTGGTGACTAACTTACCCTGGTGGACACTTAGACGTGAGGGATTTTGTTTTGTTTTCTAACGTCTTTTTAGGGGGGAGTTAATTAGGTTTATTGACTTATCTTTAGAGGAGGCACTGGGGATTGAACCCAGGACCTCACGCACGCTAAGCATGCGCTCTACCACTTGAGCTACACTCTGTCGCTGGTGAACACTTTGAAACATATGGAAATACTGAGTCGCCATGTTGTGTATCAGAGGCTAACATAGTGCTATGGGTCGATTATACTTCCAAGCAAACAGACTCATAGAAACAGAGATCAGATTTGGGGTTACCAGAGATTTGTGGGGGGGAGGGGGACTGAAGGAAGGTGGTCCAAAGGCACCGACTTCGGGCTGTAAGGTACGTAAGTACCAGGGATGCGTGTGCAACGTAACGAGCATAGTTAACACTGCTGCGTGTTAGATATGAAAGTCCCTTGAGTAAATCCTGCGTTCTCACTGCAAAGAAAAATGTTTTTCTGATTCTTTAATTTTGTATCTCTTTCAGATTAGGGTTGTTCACTAGACTTGTGGTGATCATTTCATGATGTATGCAAGTCAAATCATTATGCTGTGCAGCTTAAACGTACGCCCAGCACTGCATGTCCATTACACCTCCACAAAACTGGAAGGGAAAAAAAGAGCCGCTGAGACTGAAAAGAGAGGGAAGAAAGAACAAGACGGAAAAGGAGGAGGAGGCGGGCACCCTGCAAACAGGGGAGAGGATGGAGCCAGAAGGTTCTAGAGAGGCAGAGCCAGAGACGCAAGGTGGGGAAAGCGATGGCCAGGCGGAGAGTCCCCACACGGGCACAGAGAGATGCAGGGGAGCTTACCGTGCCCACACACGTGTCCTTGACATCCACCCACACGGAATCGGCCACCACCTCCCTCTGGCCACTGGCAGTGATCAGCGTGTAATAGGCCACCAGGCGGAAGGAAGGGATGAAGTCCTCAGTGATGGTCAGGGGCATTACCACCAGGTCCTGGCCAGGCTCTCGCACTTGGCGCCCCACCTTCATCAACTTCCCCTTGTTCATGATCTGAAAGGGTAGGTCGGCATAAGGATCGGGAAGGTGAGAGGAAAGATGGAGGGGATCCAGGATGGGGGAAGGCTCCTGGAGGTGGCGCCAAAGTGAGGAAGAGGGGCTAGGGGTTCCAGGAAGCCACAGACCAGGTAGGTGTAATAGCGGATTTTGGCTTGCTCCTTGGGGTCCGTTCGCAGGTGGAAGTTGACATTGAGTGTCTCCCCCGGCTTTAGCTCCGCACGGGGCACAGAGAGGTGCAGGTAGTTGTTGGAGTTGCCCTGGGTGCTGTAGGGAAGGGCCTGCATGGTCCTGGTCGCCTGTCGCGCCTCTGGGATACCCTCCTTCTTAGTGCGTACCTGGGCAGGGAAAGATGGATGCATGCTGGCCCCCCACGTCCACATCCCTGGGAACTGGGAGTATGGTGTTTAATGTGGCAAGAGGGACTTAGCAGATGGGGTTAGGTTAAGGATCCCGAGGGGATGTGGAGGAGACGGGACGACCCAGGTGAGTCCAGCGCCGTCACAAGGTCCTTAGAGGACATCTGAGCGGAGGGAGGGCCCGGCTGTGCGGAGGACAGCCCTTCGGTGCAAATGCACACATCCCTCTCTGGATGGCAAATCCTTTTATACAAATAAAAGGAGCCCTCTACAAAATAAAGCCCCCCGTCCCCTGGCGTGGGGCCCCGAGGATGGCCCAGACGCACGGTGATGGTCAGGGGCTGCCGGCTGTTCTGTGTGTTGATGCTCAGTTTGGCGACACCGTCATCCTGGGTCAAGGACTGCACGTTGGAGTCCTGGGTCACCACTGGGATGTGGCGGGCCGGGGAGCCGTCGGGGTTTGTCACGAACACCTGCGGATGCAGGAGCAGGTGGAGGGGGTTCAGGCGGACCCGGAGGCGGGGTGGGGCTCAGGAGCAGCTCGGGGGAGAGGCGCAGCCCCGCCCTGGGTCTCACCATGAGGTCGAAGGGCATGGCGGGCTTGAAGAACTTGGGTGTCTTGGTGAAGTGGATCTGGTAGGGGGAGGTCACGATGGGGATCCCGGTGCGCTCAGCCTCCACCATGTCACTGCCTGAGGGGGGCCAGCCGTGAGGGCAGGCTCCTGGGCCACCCCTCAGGACCAGGCTTCCCCGCTCAGATTGGACCCCGCCTGCACACGGGCTCTCTCTCCTCAGACTGGGTCTCCCCCATGAGTCGGATCCCACTTTCATTCTAAATGTCCTCCCTCAGATTGAGCCTCCCCTCTCAGACGGGGTTTTGTGCCCCAGACTGGACCTCCCCTGTCAGACTGGACCCCCTCTTCAAGCTGGGCCCCCTCCCTCAGTCTGGGGCCTCACCCGAGTGCAGGATGACCGTGACGGACACGTATATGGACTTCCCCACCAGGATGTTGGCAACAGTGTCGGCTCGGGGGGCCTGTACCCCGTCCAGCAAGACCTTTTGACTCAGTGTGGCCTCCCCAGTACCATCCTCGATCTGGGGGAGAAAACGAGGGCTCAGAGAGGAGGAGGGCTCAGATGGGGGTGCTCCATGGGGGTGAGGAAGGGTGTTCAGGGTGGAGGAGACTCAGTGGGATCCTCTGGTAGGTACCAAAATACGGGTAAGGGACTTGGCCAATGAAATCCTCTGTTCACCATCCTGGATCCCAAAGATGACGAAAGCTGTTCCATCCACATTCTTCCCATACAAGAACCTGTGAGGTGGGGAGAGTCTCAGATTCTCCCCTGCTGAAAAGATGAGACTTTCCCCTAAACTTCCATCAGCGGTGGCTGAGCCCCGCACTTCCCCTGGTCCTCACCAACTTCTCACGTGGTCCCTCACCTGTCGCCATCACCTTGCCTCTCCCTTGGTCCTCCCCCAGCCCCTCACCTGGCAGTGATGGTGACCACCAGGCCGTTTGGGTCATCGATGTAGTAGAATTTCTCTGCTGGTTCCACTTGGACTTCAAAACTGGGCAGGACTGGCGGGACAGATGGTGTCAGTGCGGGGTCGGCGTGGGGTCAGCGTTACCCTCCCCCCCCCGCGCGGCTCCTCCCTCCTCTTACCGTATTCCTTCACTTCAAACTCAGTTGAGAAGATCTGCTGCGGGGAATTTTCATAGTGGGCTTGGATCTTCCATTGTCCCATGCTGTGGGGAAGATGGGCTAGTGATCTGGCCACACCCAGCAGCCCCTCACCTCTTCTCCTGGGGTAGGGGAAGCCTGAACCCCCGCCTGAGGGGCCTGACATACGTGACCAGCTCTGGGATGTTCCAGGACAAAGGCAAGATGCCAAACTGGTTCTGAGAAGACAGGGAGTCACGCTTGATGAGAACGCCTTCGGGGGTCTGTGGGGAGACAGGAAGGAATATGGCTCTTCAGAGACTAGACTTCACCCTTCGGCTCTCCCCTCCCTCTCTGGGTCTGGACACTCTCTATGAGTCATGCCCACCAGGGAAATGGTTAAGAATGTGCCCCTGAGCCAGTCAGGTAGGGTTCAGATCCCCACTGCGCCACTGACAAGCTGTGTGACCTTGGGCAAGTTACTCAACCTCTCTGTGCGCAATGTGCACATTTAGAAAAAGGAGATACATACTACTCCTCCGTCACTGGCTTGGGACACGTCAATACGGGCAAGAACTCACGATCAGTGTCTCTCAGATTACTAATAATAACTAGCATTCATTGAGACTTTTTTTGCAGGACCCTGTGCTGAGCACTGGGTTTCTGTATGCCACTGCCTGCCGTCACCTTTCTGAACTACAAGCATAGCCACCTTGTGTGGCTCTACCTGATACACAGATGACTTCGTTCGTTGCCAACAGTTCAACATCAGGAGACATCACACAGAAATCTGATTTTCTGGCTTCTCCTGGAAATTGGGGTAACTGTGGCTAACGTGCCGCTGTTGGCACAGGGTGACACCTGGTGGGAGCTGGGCAGCGCTGAGGAGGTGTGTGCTCTCTGTTCCGCACAGACCCCATCAGCCCGGTAAGCCAGCCTTCAGAACCTGGCCCCTCTTAGGTTTGTGTGATGTTACTAAATACAAAGATCGCATGAGGAGGACATGCCCTTTCTCTCTCTCTCTTCCTCCTACACTTGCTTTTCCCTCCCCATTGCGCCCTGGTTTTTTCTCCCCCCTCCTCCCTCCCTCCCTTCTTCCAGTGAGTTTTTATTAACCCTACAACCTGCACTGTGCAAACAGATAATCCCTTTCTGTATGGTACTTGGATTCAGTAAAGGTTGGGGGAAGGTGTAATGAACAAATGAAGAAATCCAATTTACAGGATGCCAAAAGGAGATGCCAGGAAGGGAGAAAAGAGAGTAGAGTGTGTGTTGGGGGGCAGTTTGCACTTTTACAGGGAGCTCAGAGAAAGCCTCACTGTAAAATTGGGAGCTTTGTGACATTTGAGCAAAGACTTAAAGGAGGTGAAGGAGCAAGCTGTGTGGTTATTTGGAGGAAGGGGGTTTTCTAGGTGGGGGAAGAGCCCGTGCAAAGGTCCTGGGGCAGGACTCTGCCTGAGTTGTTGCAGGAACAGGGTGGCTGGAGCAGAGTTGGGTGGGGGAGGAGGTGAGAATAGGGAGGGGACAGGGTGGGGGCAGGTCGTGAGAGGCCCTGTGGGCCATGAGGAGGAAGTGGGCTTTTACTCCCAGGGAAGTGGGAGCCCTGGAGGGCTGTGGGCAGAGAAGGGGCGGGAGACTCAGGTGCTCACAGGCGCCCTCTGGCTGCAGTAGGCGGAACAGACTACGTAGACTTAGTATCTGTCATTGGCCCAATTTCAGATGATGAAACTGAGGCTGGGAAACATGAAGTGGCCTGTCCAGAGTCACACAGTGACCAGGGGTGGACCTGGAGTCAGAATCCAGAGGCTCAAGCATTGCTCCACGCGGTATCCTTGGGTCCCCGTCCCTCTCTGGGCCTCTCTCTGCTTGTGCCTCTACGTATTTCTTTGCCTTTGGGTATCTGCTGCCTGTGCCTTTGCCCGTGTTTCTTTCACTGTCTCTCCCCATCTCTTTGTCTCTCCCAGAGTCTCTGCCCCGGGTAGGTCTGGGGTCCCTGTTGGCTGGTACCTCAATGCTGACGACAACCGTCTGGCCCACCGGCAGCAGCTTGTGGTCAACGGTGAAGATCCGATAGAGGACTATGAGGTGGTGGGAGAGAAAGGGAGAGCTGGGTGAGCCCTGCCCCTCCTCCCGGCCCCACCCCCGGCCCTCTCCGGCCGCCCCCAGCCCCTTACCCGTGGATCCCGGCGTGTAGATGGTCTTGTCTGTCTGGATGAAGAGGTACCCGCTCTGAAAGCTGATCAGTACCACCTTCTCCACCAAGACGTTCCCGAAGGCTGCCTGGACAGTCACGAACTTGCGCCCCACCTCTGGTTTTAAATCTTTGGCCTGGATCTGGGCACAAAACAGGGGATCAGGAGGGGTCTGCTCCAGGGCCCCTTGCCCACCGTCCAGTCTCTTGGCCTTCGGGCGGGGTCCACACCTGCCCCTCTTCACAACAGAGCCCACCCATCACTTCTGGTCTCCTTAGTTTGCCCAGATTTAGGGAGAGAAGGGGTACTCAGAGAGGGGGCAAGGGCAAGAGAGGCGGTAAGGGGTCAGGGAGAGGGATGGGAAGGGGAAATCAGACGGCGAGGGTGCTCAGAGGACGGAGGGCTCAGAAAGGGAAGAGGGCTCAGAAAGGGGAGGGGCTCTGAAGGAAGAGCGGGCTTAAAGGGGGAGAGACTTGAGGGGAGGGGCCCAGAAATGGGGGGGCTCAGAGATGGCCGGCCTCGGAGGGGGTGCTGAAGGAGAAAAGGGGGCTCCGAAGGTGGAGGCAGCTCAGAGAAGGCACTGGTTGAGAGAGCGGGTGGGGGCTCAGAAAAGTGGGGACTCAGAAAGGGGAGGAGGGGACTCAGAGAGGGGAGGGGCTCAGAACGGGGAGGATACTCAGACAGAAGGGGCGGGGCTCAGGCAGAGTGGATGAGGCTCAGGGAGGGGAGGGGCTCAGCAGGGGGAGGACTCTAAGAGGGGGCGGGGCGTCAGCAGGGCCGGGCTCCCCTGTGCGCCCACCTTGATGTTTACGTGGCCCAGATAGCTGTTGGCTCTGTTCAGCACGGTGTTCTCGCTGGACAGCACTTGCTTCTTGGCTGGGAAGTCATGGACCGTGACTGTGACCTGAATATCCCCTTGCACATCATGGGCTTCCAGCACCACCATCTCCTCGCTCTCCAGACGCAGGATGTTGGGGGTGATCATGGAGTACCTGCCGGAGCAGAGCACCGAGCTTGGAGCTATCATCCCAGGACCGTGAGAGTCCAGCCCTCAGCCGAGGGCAGTGCTCCGCCTCAGCCTCTGGTCCTGGAGGCGCTCCAGTGACCCGCCAACAGCTGGGGTTCCTTGAAGCCCATCAAGTCTTGAACCCAAAATCAGAACCACCAGCTCCTCCAAGACTCTTGACTTCAAAACCCACAATCGAACCCATGTACTCTGGAAGCCCTAACTCCTACAACGTTAAACAACTCAAGTTTCTAAACACTCAAACCCTGGAACACTCCAAATCCTAACCTAAACTTTTGGCACCTCAGATCGATAAACGCAACCAAGTTCACCCCCTCAGCCACGTAAGCGCACACCAAATCTCCAAACTCTACAAAGGCTGAAAGCTCCTACATCCTGAAACTGCAAATTCCCAGATCCTATGAAATCCAAATCTCCAAGACTTGAAATCACCCCATCCACAGAAGCGCTGAACACCACATGTCCCCTAAACCGGCAGGGACCTGTCCCCGCAAATGCCCACTCCCATCTCAGAAGCAGCCTTGTTTGGGGTCTGGGCTGTGACTACTCACATGGGGTCCCCCAGGGCCAGGGGGAGGCTGGCCAGCAGCAGCAGGAACAGGCTGGAACCTAAGTAGCGCCGCATGGTGCAGGGGCAGTGGAGGGACAGAGGGGCAGAGGGACTGAGGGAGAGGACGGGGAGGAGTGAGTCGGGGCTGCTGGAGGCTGCCTTTTATCTGGCCTCCCCCCTTTTCCCCTCCTCAGCCCAGCCCTCCACTCCCTGCAGCCTCCCCCCTCCCTGGGGCTGCCCCAGATTTCTCAATACGTTTCCTAAATTTTCAATCTGCAGGGCCAGCGGGGGCCTGGGGTAAGTAACCCAAGGGCATGTCCTCCTGTAACAGAAGAAACACAACAGCCTCCTGCCCTGGCCTTTTTCAGGGTCAAGGCCAGCTGGCGAATAGGGACCTTTCCCTGTGACACTCACTTTATAGCAGAGGAAAACCGAGGGCAGAGACACCCACCCCAGCCCCACCCAACCTCAAATATCTAGGCCTGGTCTTCAGTCCACTTTTGGCCATGCATTTATTAACCAAATCCTTCCTGTGAGTCCATCTTTATGCTGGTAGCTGGAGTCCCACTTCTAGAACCTTCCATGCTGGAGTTGGGGGTGGGGGACGAAGTCCAGCACTGACACTCGTAGCCCCATGGGGTGGCTTCCTCAGTGGAGAAGAACTCTGTTTCTTAGAGGGTCAGGGAAGACTTCTTGGAGGAGAGAACATTTAAGCTGGACTTTGAAGTATGTGTAGGAGTTCACTATCCAGTTGAGAAGGTTTCCTAGGGCAAGGAGAGCCGCGAGCTCCCTTCTTATACTCTTGTCAAGAGGCCCGAGTGGCTATGAGGGTTTATCAAAGTCATAGTTGAGGACGGTCTCATTGCTAGTTTTTGTCTTACATCAATATCGTCTTAGGATAGTGTTATGAAACTTTAGCTTTTTGTGTATGAGTAGGTAATATAGTTATATGGCTCAACGTCTAAAAGATAAAAGTAAATACACAGGGAAGAGGTAATCCTTCTCCAGCTCCTATTCTTGTGCATTTACAAGTGTTTGCAAATTAAAAAAAAACCAAGTGCCAGCAAGCTCTGCACACTGCCCTGCCTCCTCTCCCCAGGCCACACCTTGCTGGTTCATAAACAAGATACCTTAGAGATTGTGTCCTATCAGTGCACAACTTCCTTGTTCTTACCGGTGACTGTTTCACTGCCTTATGTGAAAATAACCAGCCACCTACTGATGGACAGACAGACTTCCATTGTTCCAAACCATGCTCCCTCCACGGGGTAATCTTGAACTTGCATTATTTTCCAGTTCTTACGATTATGAGGTGGTAAACTTTGGGCAAGTTACTAATAACCATCTGAGCCTCAGTTTCCTCCTGTAAAGGGGGGTTTATCATAGCAGCAGTTTCAAAGAGTTCTTACTGCAAGGAGAAGAGATAACCTGGGATCAAAGTCTGTGCGCAACAGTAATCTTGCTAGATATGTCTCAGTTCCCCTCCAACAGTATAGTGATTTGCATGCTTGCTGGCCCTGCGCAAAATTGCCAATTTCCTCACAGCCTCCCCTCGAGGGCATGTTGGTAAAACCTTTGGATTTTTGCCTCAGTGTCATTTTAATTTAATTCCCAGGAGGCTGAACATCTGGGGCAGGCAGATGTGAAGTCCAGGTGAAGGAGGGGATGGTGTGTGGATAGGCAAACCCAGATCCCTGAGGGGTGGTTTCCAAAGCTCCTTTAAGGGGTTAATGGTGAACTCACTCTGATTTCCTGTAAACCATGCTCTTTTCCTGGCCATACACCATGGCCCCGGTCAGGGGGGGAGGCCAGGGGGGAGGCGTGGAGAAACAGAACAAACCTGGCTTATGTCTGCTTTGATTGCGACATCCTTTCCTTAGAAGAGGAGGAGGCGGGAGAGGCAAACACCTGCTTACCCTCCAGAATGGGGGTGTCACTTCTGAAACCTGCTACAATCCCCTCATCCCCCAGTGCTTTGTTTTCCTCCTCTGCCCCCCACCAGAAAACCCCCCACTCCTTTTCCTGGTTTCATTATAGCCTTGAGCATTCGGGCTCTGTGGTTTGAGAAGGAATTCCAGCTTACCTCCATCTCCCTGGGAGGCTGGGCTCCTTCCTTGGAGCCTCAGTTAGTCCATCTGAACAATGGGACTGATGATAGTTTCTGCTGTTTTGAAAATTAAATGAACTCAGATGCCTCGGAGCCCTGGGCTTGGAGGGAAGGCTCCTGCCCATGGTGGTGGAGGTCTGGGAAGGGTCCTGGCCCTGACTTCCAGGAAGTGACCAGAGGGATGGAGCGAGGTCTCCTGGGAGGCAAGGAGGTGAGAGTCAGAATCCTTCCCGGCTTTTCCCTGGGGAATGCACATTTGCACCCAGAAGTCTGGGAGGAGGATGGTGGCCCCTCAGCACAAGCCTAGCAGGGGAGGGAGAGAGGAGGCCTTCCTGGCTTGGAGTGGGGGAAAGCGAGGCTGCCTGGGCTGGTCCTATTTAGGGAACCGGGGAAATCTGGAACATTCTTATACCAACCAAGTTATTTGTTGTTTATCTGAAATTCAAATTTAACTGGAAAGCCTGTATTTTTCTGGCAGCCCTAGCTGGGGTGCAGAGAGAATAAAGGGAAAACAGTGGGCATGATTTCTGGAGGGGGAGCCCAGGCACCCCCTAGCCCCCACGCACCTGCCTGGGTGCAGTTATCTCTTGGCGGCACCCCATACCCACCCTTCCCTCACACAGGTGCAGCCAGGCCTGGGAGCAGCAGGGACCCCCCCTTCCCTGCCCCCGCTCCTGGATGTGGTCCGTGTTACACTGCGTTCTGGGAATTTCTTTCCAGGACTCACAGCCAGGCCCCCCCTCCCACCCCCCTCCCCCAGCAGCCTGGGCTTCTCCTTCTCCCCCAACCCATTACTCATTAACTCGTAGTTAACCTTGACCTGGTTGAACCAGTCCATCTGCCCACTGGCTCCTCCCCCACCCCCTCACGCTTACCCAGCTGAGGCCCCCTGGGCACCAGGGACCCTCACCCTGGAAGACTCAGGGGCCAGAGATTTTGACTCCAGCTCTGCCTCCTCCCAGCCTTGAAGCCTAATCTGTAAATTAGACATTCAGAGCCACAGAACCTCCCTCTGGGTCTTGGGGTTACGGTGCCTACAAGCCGAGGGCTCAGCCCGGTGCCCGGCACATGGCCAGCCCACGATGTGCTTTAGCTGGTTTTTAATTTTTGCTGACACCTGCTTCTCCTCTCTCTTGCCGTGTTTCAGTGGCAGTCCCACCGGGTCTCCGAGCCAGGGTTCCCACATCCTCCATCTCCCTCGTCCTCCGCGACCAGCCCCTGACCCTTAGGCCGTCTCTCAGCCAATCCCTTCTCCCTGCCCTTGTGGTTCCTGGCCTTTCTGGCGTAGGCTCACTTCCTCCAGTTCATCTAGTCTATCGCAATGGGGGACTTTTCCCTAAAACACACCTTTGCATTCCTTTTACAGAATTAAGATGTATAATACAGGCATAGGCGCTCGTGACCGTGAACTGTGAGGCTCAGCGGCAGCGTCAATTTCTCACATCTTGTTTATTCCAAATGCTTTAGGTGCTATCACTGTCCCCATTTTACAAAGCAACTGAGGGCTTTGGCCACTTGCCCAAGATCCTCTAGCTGGTAAGAACTGGAATTTAAACCCTGGCAGCAGGGCTCTGGAGTTCACGTTCCTAAACTGTATGAGTTTCTGACTGCTGCTGTAACAAACGATTACAGCCCTGGGAGCTTGAAACAATACATTTTTAGAATCTTACAGTTCTAGAGGGCAGGAGTTTGAAATTAAGATGTGAGCAGGGCTGTTTCCTTTGGAGGCTCTCGGGAAGAATCTGTTCCTGGCCTTTTCCAGCTTCTAGGGGCTGCCTGCATCCCTTGGCTTGTGGCCCTTCCTGCATCTTCAAAGCACATCATTCTAGCCTGTTTCCAGCATCACTTCTCATTCTCTGATCCCGACCCCGCTGCATCCCTAAAATGATCCTTGTAATGACAATGTTTCCGCCAGAGAAACCCAGAATTATCCCTCATTCTGAGATCCTTCATTTAATCATACCTGCAAAGTGGCTCTTGTCATGTAAGGGAACATAATCATGGGTTCTGGGGGTCAGGATGGGGACACGCTGGAGGAGTCATGAGTCTGCCTCTCCCAGCATTCATGTGGAGTAAAACATCCACCCTGTGTGGCCATATCTCTCCCTGCTTTAAACTCTTCCTTGGCTCTGTGAGACCCAGCATCCAGTCCAAGTGTGTCTGCCTATCTTTAGGCTGCCGCCGGCTGCCCTTGTCCCTCCACTGGCCCCAGCCAGACCTGCAGCACAACTCACAAGCTATACTGGGCATTGCCTTGCTGCATAACTTCCTCAGTCTGCAATGCCTTCCCACTTCCTTCTTTGTCTGGCTGGGCTATATGTTCATCTGGGCCCCAGTTATACATGTTTCCGCTTGCAGGAAACCTTGACCTCAGCCCTGGTTCCCTTCCCCTGTCCCATGACTGTCGCCCCCCCCCCCCACCAAGGAATAGCGCTCAGAGCTCCAAAAGAGGTCTAGTGTTTGAGTTAAAGGATGAAGCATGGCAGGGGGAGAAATGCATCCTGGGAGCCTGACTGCAGGTGCATCTCTAACCTGCCGTGATCCCTCAAGCTTCAGGGAAATCCAGGAAAGGCCAGGCTGTGTGGGAGGGCACTGTGCTGAGCCACTGACTCCCACTACCACCCGTGACACTCAACTCTACAGGGTCCCCATTTTACATGCCAGGAAACAGAGAGATTAAGCCGCTTCACAGGGTCACACACCAAATAGGGAGCAAGGTCAAGAGGCTTGGTGGCCGGGAGCCTAGGTGCAGAGGGGCAGTGCACACGGTGGTAAAGGACAGCTCGGAACCAGACTGCTGGCCATTTGAGTCCTGAGCCTTCCAACAATTTGTTTGCTGTGTCACCTTGGGCAAATTACACAGACTCTCTGTGCTGCCTAAGATTTTGAATCAGTTAAAGACTATGGAAGCCTTAGAATAGGGTGTGGCATATAGCAATCACTTGGCTTCCTGTGGGTCTTTCAACCC